CAATGACATGTCTGTTCATAACTCAAGTAATAATTTTTTAATACGACAATTATACACTTTCACATAAATAATTTAACAATCACCTATTTAATCGTACTTAAATCTGTACATAATCATAACATAAATCTGTCCATCTCTCCCATTCTTTTCTTTTTTGAGTAAGATAATTAAATCCAGCTCTAATAGGACGAATATATTAGTGGGAGGTGAGACTATCAAAATTGATGAAGTCAATTGGGAACCTTGGTAGTGGAGCCGGAATGAGTTCAAATTTAATATTTGGGGGAACAGCTTTGTATACAGGTGGGAGGAAAAATGGGGAAAACATGATTACAAATAATCAATACTTTTCCCATTATATTAGATGACAAAATCAATCCCTCCCACTCAATTATTGGAAAGATGGGTACAGATGAGACCGAGCCAGATGGGATTAGAGGGCTGTTTAGAAGGAGGCTGCACGACATGAAGAAAAGATAAGAACTATTAAAAAGAAAAAGTAGTCCAATTCTAAAATCCAAATGGTATCAGTTATCTTAATGGGAACTACAGAGTGTTGTAGGGAAAATTCCAAAGAGGGATTTGGATTCAAAGGGCGGCAGGGATGAAACAAGTGTGGACCTGAGTGCTTGGCGTTTTGTGGAACACTCTTGTTTTGAACGATGAAGGGCTGCTTTCTTGGTCTTTTGAATGCCCACGTGCCATTTCCTCCGCTCCTATTTTCAAGAACAATATTGGAGCTAGTTTGAAGAGTTCTAAAGAAACACTATTCCCTATATACATAATTTTTCGTAGTATATATCTCTTTATCGGGAGTCGATGACTATTCATAGCTATTACCTTGACATCAAAGAACAGTTCGACCCAATGCTTTATTTCTGTTCTAGTTGATCCCGATTCAACATTAGAAGTATATTGATTTTTCTCCAATAACCGAGTACTTTTGTCTGTAAATATTGCATATTTGATTCCATCCATAAATTTTCTTCCCTATGAGTTCGAGTCTCAATACGAATGCTAGTTCTTACTGTTCATATGTTATGATATGAATATACCACATCTATTCCTTATGTATGGATGATGACGAAGATAACATTAAATTATGGATAAAGTCAAGTAGGATGTCTATGTTAGGAATCACGAATCTCCACAATAGTATGATATTATCCAATTTGAGGCTTTGCGGTTGGTTTTTCCAAAAGGCCTCGTAATAATGGAGATGTATTCTTTGCTAATAAATCTATGATCATCCTCTAAATTAGCTGACGTGGGACTCTCTTCCAACAATCCTTTACGGCCTATCAGGTAAGGTCGGTTGAATTTGAGATAGATTAAAGAAAATATCCACTAGTAAAAAGTGAATATTAAACCTATGAAGGATGAAGTTAAAAACCAAGGTAAATTGCAAAGAACAAATATGGAATGTGTAAACTTGAGCATACTTGAGTGGAAAAGACGCTTAGACTTCGTAGCTAAGCAAAAGGAATCCTCAAGAATTATAAAAATGTCATTTGGGGGGGGGGGACAGCAGAGAGCATTTATTGACCTCCAACAAGATGCCATGCTCGCAGAATGAATGGAGAAAAGGGCCAAGACATTGACAAAGGAGTGGACCTAGAGGCCCAATATACAAGAAGCAAGATTTTTACAGTCACCAAGGTCAAATTTTCGGACAGCAAATTTGCCAAATCTAAATTACTCTAATTAGACACGGATTTTGGATTTGGATTTGGATTTGAATTTAAATTTGGATTTGGGTTTGGATTTGACGGTTATACATACACTAAAGGTATACTATTTATGAAGAATGAATGGGGATGGATTAGCTGTTTCGCTTTTCTAGGTTGTCAAAGTTTTCAAATACAGCCAAAAAGAGTCCGTAACAAGTTCAAAATGCCAATCTATCTCCAACCAAGACCTCTGGGGGACAGACTTTGAGTTCTCGAGATACAGAGGATTCCCTCAATTGTTCTCAATTTTATCTCCTACGTAAGAGGGAAAACAAGGGATTCGTCTCCTACATTATAGAGTAAAAGAATACGAGAGTTCCCAATCAATCTATTTTGGCTGAAAACCATGCCAAACTGATTCACTTGCATCCTTATTGACAATCCTCGCATTTCAGCGTCTGAATAATGTGCCAAGGCTCTAGAAATTTTCCTTATACGGATAAGAATACAACTAATCCAATGATCCTAAGCCATGAAACATGGCAGAAAACCATGATCCTAGGCCTGAACTAATCCAATGTAAGATTTTCTCATGCAAAGAATAAGAATGACAACGAATTGCCTGCTTTTGCTCTCCACAGTTTGAAGAAAACTGATCATACCAATCGATTAACGAATTTAGGAGTCACCAATAATCTGTTTTGGAAGCCTAGAAATGAGTGGCCTAAATTTGGGGATGTCTAGAACATGGATGCCTCTCTTGCTGAGTTGCACCTTTCATTATAATCCATTTTGTACAAACAGACACACAGGCAGAGACATGTGGTCACCATAACTGACTAGAAAAGGAAAACAATCAAATATAAGGCAAAGGAAAATGAGGGTTGTTGGCCAATATACATATAATGGTACCTACATAAATATATACAAACACCTTAATGGGATTTCTATGTTGCTTACAAACTTAAATGAATGCCAGACATATCAGACAGTCTACTTTTCATGTCAATTTGTCTTCAAACAAGATATTTTGCAGCTAATATTTTCAAATAACTGTTCAGATGGCATCAAGTTGCATCATGAAAGAAACTAAGAATCATTGAAGAAAGCAAACCTTATTATTACAGCATGGTGTCAACCCCCTTCTCCTTGCTTTAAAGAAAACTAATGATCGCCAGAATCCTTCTTGGGAAGAATTTCTCCCACTACGGCCTCAATCTCTTCCTTGACTCTCCCAAACACTCCGGGGGCCTTTACTTCTTTAGCGGGCGTAGTCTCATCAATATCATCACTTCTTCCATGTGTTTCTTTGTGATGGTGTGGTGATTCTTTATGGTGGCCTACAGCCTCTATCTCTTCTTCCGCTCTCTCAGAAAGATTGGGTGCTTGTGCATCTTTTTCTTCTAAAAGTATGTGTGTGTTGCACACCAAGAGCAAAAACGAGATAACATCAGTCAACCAAACGCTTCAAGCAAAATCAACTATGAGTCTATAATTGTAACAACCCAAGTACACCGTTAGCAGATATTGTCCTCTTTAAGCTTTCCTTTCAAGGGCTTCCCCTCAAGGTTTTAAAACGCGTTTGTTAGAAAGAGGTTTTCACACCCATATAAAGAATGCTTCGTTCCCCTCTCTAACCAATGTGGGATCTCACAATTCACCCTTCTTGGGCCCAACGTCCTCGTACCATGACTAGCTCTGATACCATTTGTAACAGACCAAGCCCATCATTAGTAGATATTGTCCTCTTTAGGCTTTCTCTTCAAGGGCTTCCCCTCAAGGTTTTAAAACAAGTATGTTAGGAAGAGGTTTTCACACTCTTATAAGGAATGCTTCATTCCCCTCTCCAACCAACATGGGATCTCACAATAATAGAGAGCTCATTTCTGCTCTATAAAAACTCCTCACAGACAATTTGAGCAACACCTTAACAACCACAAGTTCAAAATTCATGCACTATGATAATAACTTGCTGTAAAGAACGCAGAAGGAAAAGTTCCTCTTCAGAAATGACAGCCGATTCCTTTCAACTAAACATAATTCCCATTGAATTAATGAATCCTAGAACATTAAACCGTTCTAATAATTTGAAATCAAACATTGCCTTAAAAATAGCCGTAGTAACCAATCAACGCCACTAATTACTGAAAATACGGGCTGTCAAGTGTTTTCTAGCTCCATATCGCACCAATCGCCGACAATAAAACACTGTAAGAGATGAAATACGTTATCACTTGTATTCCACTGGATGATCCTTACTTAATGCAATAACTTCAAGCGAATTATATTCAGAAACAGCAAATTGAAGAGACGCACATAACATCAGAACGATCAAAAACAACAGCAGCTAAATTGAAGTTGATTAGAACGATAAAGAGATTGAACGATTGGAAGTACCTGAGGAAGAATCTTTGATCTCAGTCTTTTGATCCGCCATTCGAGATTTTCCTTGGGATTGATTAACCCGGCCTCGCTCTTCTGTCCGCTCGCTGGACCATCCCTTCCCCCGTTTACGACGAAACTGACGGTATACACATGTCGACAGTTCTGACGGCGGGACGACTTGTCGTTATGTTTAGCAATTTTACAAAGCCCAACTCGGCCCAATACGACACGTTTAGGCCCGTTGATTGCAGAATATAACGAATGAGAAGCACCTTGGTGCTTATAAATTATTTTTAAATTAATTTGTCTTCAATAAATATTTGACATATATTTAAATTTTTAATTTTATATTTAATGGATATTTTTAATTTTATTTTATGTATTCAATTTTTTTTATTATTTTATCGGACTTATAAAATGTAAATTTTAAAATTTACGTAAATATTTTTATGCATAATTATTTATTAATATAGACATCTCTAAAATATTTGTATATATTTGTACGTAGTGAAATTTTATATATATTATTACGTAAAAATTATATATATTCTTTAAAAAATTTAAAAATATTATTAGCGTTAATTTTACCTAGAAATTGTTAATATTTTATTTAAAAAATATGGTTGAAGTTTTGGATAATATTCTTTTCTTTATAATTTAAAAAATTAAAAAGTATTCTGAAAATTTAGAAATTAGAAATTATTTTTTAAAATAATATTTTTATTAATTTAGGAAAAAAACGGAGTAGCCAAAGAGAATTGGCCCAATGCGACGTCGTTTTACCCTTCGATTACTTGAATTAAGCGCCGCAAAGCATTTAAAATCGCATTAGATTATTAAATTAAATCTCACTAGCCGTTACAATGCAGCCTTTCGTTTTCTCCTTTACCCTTTTGACTTTTCGAATTTCAAAATTCAAACGACTCTTTCCTCTTCCATTAATTAGATCCACTCCAACGGTTTCTCAATTTCATCCTTCTTCTCAAGTTTCCATTCAAACCCTAAAAATCTGCAAATTCGCTCGCAGTCGCTTCTGATCTTCACCAGTGGATTCTAAATCGGTCAAATCTAATGGGTTCTTCAAGAAATTGGCTCAAATCTCTCATCAGTCACAAAAAGCCTCATCAAATTACAGAGCAAGTAAGCCTCGCGCATGTGCGATTTGTTTGAAAATTCTGTGCCCTAATTTTTTTTCGTTCAATTTGTAGGAGAAAGTCGGGGATGGGAACAAGAAGAAATGGAGGCTATGGAGGAGCGTATCTGATGGAAATGGTTCATCGAGTAAACTTACGAAGAAGGAATTTCTCGAATCAACAGAATCGCACGATTCGAAGCTTTTGGCTAACGCTGTGGCGGCGGTGGCTCGAGCTCCGTTGAAGGATTTCGTGGTGGTACGACAGCATTGGGCAGCTCTTCGAATCCAGACGGCTTTTCGTGGCTTCTTGGTATAATCCACTTTTTTAAATCTGTAAAAATGGATCTGGAAATCATGCTTTTTGGCTTGTGGTTTGCAGGCAAGAAGGGCGTTGAGGGCTTTGAAGGCAGTGGTGAGGCTTCAGGCCATATTTCGGGGTCGGCAAGTGAGGAACCAGGCCGCTGTGACTCTGAGGTGTATGCAGGCGCTGCTCCGAGTTCAAGCCAGAGTTAGAGCTAGACCTGTTACTGCTGGTGGTTCTCAAGAAGAAGCTGATCCGATCAAGCAGGCTGAGGTAACTTTTTGAATCTAAATGACTCGTTTTCTGTCATGAATTTCAAGGATCTAAAGGATTATAATGGTTTTTTCTTGTTTTGCAGAAGGGATGGTGTGATAATCCGGGAACTGTGGAAGAAGTGAAAAATAAGCATCAGATGAGAAAAGAGGGAGCTGCCAAAAGGGAAAGAGCTCTTGCTTATTCCATTTTACAACAGGTAATAAGAGTTGACTGAATATTTCGTCTTTCTCACGAGTCATGTCGGTGTCTGTAGTTGAGGATTGTTGGGAGGGAGTCCCACTGTGGCTAATTTAGGTGGTTATCAAGGGGTTTGTAAGTAATGAATACATCCCAATTGGTAAGAGGTCTTTTGGGGAACCAAAGCAAAGCCATAAAAGCTTAGGCTTAAGGTGTAATGTTATTACGGAGATCATTACTAATATGGTATCAAAGTCATGCCCTTAACTTAGTCGTGTCAATAGAATCCTCAAAAATTGAACCAAGAAGTTGTGAGTTTCTAAGGTTTAGCCAAAAGTCACTATGGTATAGTAAAAAATGACTCAAGGGCGTACTTTGTTGCGAGGGCTATAGAGAAAGGAATTGAGCCTCGATTAAGGGGAGAGACTGTTCAAGGGCTCCTTAGTGAAGGCTCTATGGTGTACTTTTGAGTCCACGTTGGTATGAGCCTTTTGGGAAAAGCCCAAAACAAAGCTACGAGAGCTTATACTCAAAGTGCATAATATCATATCAATGTGTGATATGTGATTCCTAACCTGGGTGTCAGTGTAGGAGTCGGTGTTTTGATCGGGCAGAGATGGCTTAGTTCATTCTTCATAACGCTTAATAACAAATCAGACTCTAAAACACATATAGCCTTCCAAAGTTAGTGTCTTTTATGTAATCTGAATATGCTTGTGATTAATGGTGATGATAAATAATTTCCCATTTCAGAGATCAAAATCATGTGCTAGTCCTAAAAGAGGTACGAGCAAACAAATGCTCCAACAGAGGAAGTTTGACAAGAATTACAAGCAGCAGGATTTGAGCTGGTTAGACCGGTGGATGGCTGCCAATTCATGGGAAACCGCTTCATTGGACACCGTCCCGCCGGGAAACACGCCGTTTTCCCGGAGAAGTGAAGATGTAGGCTACTTTCCTGACAGTTTCAGAACCAGAAAGAACAATGTCACGACAAGAATCTCAGCTCCACCCAATCAAATTGCTCGGTCTCCGTCTTCCTCGGAGTCTGTCTACGATGAGTACTCTGCCTCCATGTCGTCGTCGACCTCGGGGGCAGTGGCGGCGGCAGCAGGTGAAGAGGAGATCAGAAGTAAGCCGAGTTATATGTATCCCACGGCGTCAATCAAAGCAAAGCAGAGAACCGGTGGCGGGAGGACGCCGGTGGTTGATAACCGAGAGACAACGAGCAACAGTACATGTTCTGAGAGTTCAGGGAGGTTATGCCGGGATATGTATCAAGAACCGCCATTTGGACGGCGAGATTGGGTGAGATGCTGAAGAAAAGAGCCACCGCATGCGGCGGCTTGCCGGGAATGTATGGGATTTTAACTCTTTTTCATTTCAACAACTTGTTGCCTTTTTGTGTGGTGTGTTTATACATTGTGACTAGATAATGGTGTCCCAATACAAATTGTTTGGAATCTAATATAAATTGTTTTTTTTTCTTTTTTCTTTTTTTCTCAACTTCAAAAAATACGAACACAATGTTAGGACGAACTGTTAACTTGTGCACGCACACATTTAAGTTATTAATAGAATATACCGAGTTATGCTCGAGATGACATCATTTAGTGTAATTATGGCACGAACACATTTAAGTTATTAATAGAATAACTTCAAGAGAATGATGTAATATACTCAATTCTATTGAAGTTAGAAGTTCATAATCTCCACGCTTCTCATTTGTTTAATGATTGCCATCTCCCTGGCATGCTAACTCATTTTTAGATATCTACCAAATAGCGAAGCCATTCAAAAAGAGAATCGATTCCTTATTAGCTGATTCTTTAGTGAGAAATAAAACGTGCGTCTCGCTCTATTTTAACGTCTTTTGATTGATCACATGGATTTCAAAACCTTCACACATGAATTAGTGCCAAATCCAAAACAGTTTCAACAGATTGAGAGGAAAAATAAAAAGAAATATTTTATTTAGTTGCCAATTGGGTTACCAAAAAAAGGTTAAATTATTTGAGCTTTTTTCAGGCTCCAAGCACGGAGTTTTGTGATGGTTACACTCTCTGTTCCATTGTTAAAAGCATAGAGACCAGCTTTGTCTCCAATCGCCAACCTTGGATACACTCTCGCTGTGATGCAAGCCTTCCCTTTCGATCCAAAGCTTTCCACAATTGAGTGATCAATCTGTAAATGTTTCATAAAAATGGTCAAATTCATCGATCGAGATCTACTATGGTTAGAATCGATAGACTTTAACCCGTGTACGTGAAGAGTAATAATTATGAACATCGAGACTCGAACACGATAAAATGCTCCATTTGTTTAAAAAAGAATCTCACCAGACTTCTCAACGAAACGTTTTTACGAACTGGGTCTACATCTAAGAATGCTCCATACATTGTCTTGTCATTATCTGCGTTCAATGAAGACCTGTCCAACGAAAAAAAAAAGGTTCAAACATCAACAAATCAGTCAAACCGTCACGGTTCTGTAACGTTACTGTTCTTTTCTCATTGTTCAACGCATGGTCGGACGATATGAAACAATACACATCACGTTGTTCGATTTACCTGCTTTGGTCGCTACACATAAGCACGACATACTTGTCTTGTCGTTTGAATATCCTAAAGAACACGGAAGTGTACTCTTCCAAGTTGTTGGAAGCCAAAACTAGAAGCCCAAATGGACCAACTCCACCCTTGGCAGCTGCTCCCATTTGGCTACAAACCAATTGTGGGTCTTTCCATTCAGCCTTCAGCAGATGAGCTTTGTTGAAGCTTTTCACTTTGAATGAAACATCAACATCGGCCTGTAATAATAATAACAATAATGCCAATAACAAACCAAACACAAAATCAAACAACCTTAATTAACACAAAACCAGTCACTCACCTGTGCCGCTGTTACACCTTTTACTGCAATTATTGATCCTTTCTCCAATACTTTGTTTGTCAATTTAATTTTGTCCTTTCGAAGCTTTTGAATTTCCGCAATTGGCCATTGAATTAGTTGCTTTCCAGATGCATCAAGCCAAACTGTCCTTGGAATTGCCTACAAAAATAAAATAAATAAATAACCATTTTAGAATAATATTGTTTGAAATTAATTATTTTCTTGTTTTTTTTTTTAAATTTTTTATTTCTATCTTATTTTTAGCATATAGGGTGGGCTATAGTCAAAGAAGTTGGGGGAAAAAATGCACCACGGTTTCTCTTTTAGGGTTCTAAGAATAGGAGAGAAAAGACCAAGCCAAATTGGGCCACTACTTGGTGTATGAATGGCTCAACTCCGTTTTATTTTTTTATTGAGGCCGAACCTAAATCTTCTTAATGCTATGTCATACATGACATATAGCTTAGATGACGTGATCCAAACGTTCATTAGAGGAGTTCTAGATGACAGAGATAACGTGATATTGAGCATACATAGAAATAAAAGCAATTAAACATGAAACAAATTTTATGCACCCAGAAGTAAATAAATAATAATTTTTTTTTATAGTTTTTAAAAAAAATATAATTCTGTAATTTTAAATTTTAAAATTTAATTATATTCATTTTTTTTAATATAATCCTTTTAAAAATAAAAATAAACTTTTTTATTAAAATAAGATAAAATTGGAATCTATCTCTGTTCATGTCGGCCAGGAAGTTTTTTTTTTTTTTTTTTCTTTTTAAAATATTTTTTAATGCTGAAATAAAAGGAGTTGTATTATTCAAACGTTGACTTTGACTTTGACTTGGTTACCTGGACGCCAGACCATCCCTTCTTGATATCATCATCAACGCTGGAGGATTCATTCACCCAACCCCACAAAACTCTCCTCTTCTTCTGGCCGTCGAAGAATGTCTTTGAAGCGTAATACTTTCCATAATCATATCTCAATCCGGAGTAGTCTTGGATTGATCCTTTATCCGGAACATAAATATCTTTCTTCAAATCATATGTTCCGACCGTGTACTGATCATGCTTAGTATCATCCAAGCTCACCTTCAACACGTGTTTCACGTGTTGTCCACTCACACTCGTGTCAACGCCCGCCCGACCATTCTTTGCCACAGGGAAGAAATCTGGACACTCCCACATTCCCATGCCATCGGCATAATGAAGTGGATGATCAACCTACAGATCAAGGACCAAAAAGTTCTATTACAACTTTAGACCATACGTAATTGAGATAAGAGTTTTTAGCTTTCTACCCCACCTGATCCCACTTAACAAAATCTTTGCTTCGGAACATAATGGCAAGTCCACGGTCATCAACTTTGCTCCCGATGATAACCCGCCATTCGCCATCGGGGCCGAGCCAGGCGGTGGTGGGGTCGCGGAAGGAGCTAGAGTTGATGTGGTTTTGTGGGGTGGGAGCCATGAGAGGATTCTTTGGGGATTTCACCCATTCTCTAAGATATGGGTCAGACAGATTCTTAGGGACAGCCAAGTTTTGAACTTGTTGGTTTTTAGGGTTAATTCCTGTGTACAGAATGGCCGGTTTGTCACCAGGGAGAATGGTGGCGGATCCCGACCAGCAGCCGTTTATATCGGAGGGCTGAGATGGGTAGATGGCATAATCATGGGGTTTCCAATTGATCAGGTCCGTTGATGTGGAGTGGGCCCACACAATGTTACCCCACACAGCTCCTTTAGGATTGTATTGGTAAAACAGATGATAAATCCCCTTGTATATCATTGGCCCTGAAATCATCACAACGGTTCAATTATCATTCAAATAATAATTTGTTTTATAAAAACAACAGAGCAAGGAGAGATGAACAAACCATTTGGATCTGTGATTGGGCAGACAGTTCCATAGCCAAATTGAGATGAGAAACAAAAAGATGGAAACTTTAAGAAGAAGAAAAAAAACCCAGAAGAACAAAAATGGAAAAGAAAGCGAGAGAGAGAGAGACCGTTGATCCAGTTCTTGGGAGGCTGAAAATGGCAGGAAGTTCTGTAAGGCTGTTCATGATGATGAAGAAGAAGGCGAGAAGGTTGAGGTGTGTAAACATGGTGGGAAGCTTGCAGCTTCAAAGCTCCATGGCAGAGCAAGAAACAGAGGAAAGAGATGAAGCAGAGAGAGGAGGAAGCCATTGGTGAAGAAGATTCAAATATTGGGTTTTTTCCATTTGTATTTATAATTAAAAATCTTATTTTCATTGGCCACATTTAGAGAGAGAGAGATAAAAAAACAAACACTTTTATTAGATTTTCTATTAATTTTGTGTCTAATAAAATTTTATTATATTTAACAATTTTTAAAATTATATAAAATTAGCCTTTTTAACTTATTTAGTATTGGAAACTGATTGAGGAGATTTTGAAAAGTAGAAAATAGTGTGAAAAGTCGAATCTATCCTAGATTTGCTAAAACAATGTGTTGTTATAAAAATAACGAAGATGATAATAATAATAATAATATATTAATAAAGTTTGGATATTTTAGTAATTTAATACCCCAAAAATAAGGAATTTTATAACACAAATAATTCTACTCCATTTTCTACATCCTTTTTATTTGACCTTACACCTATAAAAGAAAACCACGTGTCACCACAAATAATTTTTAACTTTTTTAAATGATTAATGTATTAATATTACTATGAGTATTTTTTTTAAATGTAATACAAATAATAAGAATATTTATTTTATTTAAGAAATTATTTTTTAAGTTTTTTTAAAAAATGAAGGGGTTAATGATGTTCGTTTTTTAATAATTTTTTGAAGTTTAAATGTATTTTTGAAACAAATAATTAATTAATAATTTAGGTAAAATTAACGTAAAAATATATATATATATATATATCACTATTAGGATCACAACCTACTCGTAGTATGGTTGTGACATGGTTGTGACACCAGTCATGTACACACACTTAAACTAGCAGACTACGACATAATTTGTATACATGAGTTTATATAGAGATGTCTACGGGACGGGGCGGGGACGAGGAAGCTTTCCCCGTCTCCTTCCCCGCCACCTATTTCATATTTCATCCTGCATAATTTTTCATTTATTTTTGTGGAGATAAAAAAATTACGGGAAATTAATTTTTCCTCATTTTTTTTCCTTTTCAATATAATCTTTAATAAAAATTTGTAATAAAATAAACATGAATAATATTCTACCAACTTGATATTTAAAATTTAAAATTTTAATATTACACTGGCGTTTAACAATTAAAAAAATCTATAACATAATTGTTAATTTAAATATTACCTGTCTCAAAATTAATTAATTAATTTTTTTAATATAGTAAAAAAAAAAAAAAAACGAGAATGTAGAGAATAAAATGAGATGTGACGTTACTTTTGAAGGATCTCAATCAAGAGTAGATGCAAACTTGAGCGTTATAATAAATGCAAGCTTGCTAGACATGAGGTGACGTTTATGGTCGAAATGAAACTTAGTTCTGCATATATCATACTCGGTCGAGGCATGCTTAAGGTTCGATGAAGCTATAAAGACGAGCG